GTGATACACGGTACAAGAGAAAGAGATAACAGCTGTGGTGCATTGTCTACGCACTTGGCGGCATTTTTTACTTGGGTCCAAGTTCTTGGTGAAGACAGATAATGTGGCAACAAGTTACTTCCAGAGTCAAAAGAAACTCAGCCCCAAGCAAGCTAGATGGCAAGATTTCTTGGCCGAGTTTGACTATGTGTTGGAGTACAAGCCCGGGAAAGGCAACATAGTGGCAAATGCATTGAGTCGGAAGGCCGAGTTTGCAGCCATAAGTAAGATACAAGGGATCTTCTCAAGCTCATAAACGAGGGCCTCGAGCATGACACATTGGCCAAGCAACTCATCTCCTTAGGTCAAGATGGCAAGACCCAACGCTTTTGGGTAGAAGATGGCATCTTGTACACCAAAGGGAGAAGGGTGTATTTTCCAAAGTGAGGAAATTTGCAGAGGAACTTGATCGAGGAGTGTCACGACACCAAATGGGCTGGACATCCCAGACGAAGGCGCACTCGAGCACTATTGGAGGCAGTTTATTATTGGCCACAAATGCGGGACGATGTGGAACAATTTGTGAGAACTTGTCTTGTGTGCCAACAAGATAAGGTGGAACACCAAAGCCCACAGGATTATTGGAACCGTTACCCATACCAAGCAGACCATGAGAGAGCATCTCAATGGATTTCATAGTGTGCTTGCCGAAATCCGAGAGCTTTAGTACAATTATTGTTGTGGTGAACATGTTGTCGAAATATGCCACCTTGTAACACCTACTGAAAACTAGTACAATGCATGCAATTAACAATGGAAAATTTGGCCCAAAAAGTTTCTTTTCATTACAGTTCACATGTCTTTTATACACAAAAGTTACTGTTTACAAAAGTGCATTTCAAAAGACAAAATAGGGGAACAGTGTAGCTATTGCTCCTCGCGCGCCGACGCCCCTCCAACCGCATCAACACCTAGAACCTGCATCCACAAAGGAAAATAACGGGGTGAGCACAAATAATGCTCAGTAAGTAAAACTCTCTAACTGTCTGTCCCCGTGTGTGACTCTTAATTCTTTCCTTTTCTAATTCTGTTTCTATTTCTGTTTCTAATAACATCATGGCCTCATCTTACCGGAGGTACGGCCGGATGGCGTTCACACAGCACCATCTCACTCTCTATGGCTATCGGGTGGAATTCACACAGTACCAACCCGTTCTTAGTGACTACCGAGTGAGGATCACAAAGCACCAACTCGGTTCTTCCTAACTATCGGGTGGAGATCACCTAGCACCTACCCGTTCCTCATGAATTTTGGGTAACGATCACCAAGCATTTACCCGTCTCTAGTCACTATCGGGTGATGATCACAAAGCATCAACCCGCTTCTACTAACTGTTGGATGATGATCACAAAGCATCAACCCACTTATCTAATAACTAATCGGATAGTGATCACAAAGCATCTACCCCATTTCTATTACTCATTGGGTGACGATCACAAAGCATCGACCCATCTCTAAGGGCTATTCGGATGATGATCACAAAGCATCAATCCGATTCCCATAACGGTCGGGTGATGATCACAAAGCATCATCCCAACTATACTACTCTTCTAACTCATTCTATTGTAGCATTTTTCAATGCTCTCTACCCTTAGAGTAATTTTACCCACTAAGCTCTCTACTCATAGGGTATTTCTAAACACAAAGTTTCCTACTCTTCCTTAGGTCACTTTTCAATGCATATAACAATGCACATGGATGATTCATCTCTACTAATGCACTTGTGAAATGCCAACATGCAATGTTGCAAGAATTAAGGTTCATTACTCACACTCAAACCTCTATTAGGCATTTCATCAAACAACTCATGTGCACTATAAAACTCTATCATAGCCATGAATCTAAAACTTTTCCTAACCATCCAAAATGGGGAAAAACCCCTTCACAAAGTCATAATAACCTGTCAAATAAAACACTTCCAAAAAGGGTTCCATAACACCCCTTCAAATCCATCTCAACTACCTTGCCAAACCAACAACCCATTTCTCATATTTGCAAAGTAATAACATTCACAAAGCATAGAAGTTTCTATTTAATCCTTCATACATGCCATATTACATGTATATCACATACATACATCAAATCTATTAAAACCCTAATCAAGAAATTTCATAAATCTCAACTTGGGTTGGGTTTTACTTACTTGCTATGGAGAGACTTCACCAAATCCTCTTTCCACTTGGTTTCTTGACTATTCTCTCTACTCTTAACCAAAAGAATGAAAACCCTCAAATTTCAATATGGGTTAAAACTCCCAAATCACACAACTTAAGTAGAGATTCTTACCTTAGAAAGCCTTAGGTTGCTTTTTATACCCCCAAATCACTTCAAAATCCCTTGGAAAACCTTGATCAAGAGAGAAGAGAAGTTGAGAGGAAGAAGAATGGAGTGCTGCGTTTGAGGAGAAGAAATGAGGGGTTTTGTTAATTCTAATCCCTTTTAATGAAATGTATAACAAAGCATTCCCATATTGCCCTTACTCTTCTTTGGGAATTCCATCTATATCCTTTGGTTCATTACAAACTCACCCCCATGTCAACACATTCTCCATGAAAAATCCTTACAATTAACTCCCCACTTTTCCTGCTAAAAAGGGGTAGAAAGGTCAAATTGTCCTTAGGGAAGAAAATGTCTAAAACTCAACCAACATTTTATTCGGCCTGTCGCCGCGGCGAAGAAACATTTGTCGCCGCGGCGAAACTGTCCAGAGAGTTTCACCCTTGGTTCAACCCATCTTCGCCGCGGCGAAGATTCTTCTTCGCCCCGGCGAAGCTTGGTACACTCAAATCCTTCTATTTTCAACTAATTTCAGGGCAACAATCAACATAACATTCAAACAAACAAATATAACAAAAACCAACTCGATTAAGGGCGAAAGAGGAAACAATAACAACGTACCTCAAGCGGGGCGTTACACACCTTCATCCCCGCACCAAAGGAGTGTACAGCGGAAGACACGCCCAAACTCTTCTTCAAACATGTGGTGAAGTATTGGGGTCTTCCGAAGTCTATCATCAGTAATCGGGATAGTCGGTTCACAGGGAGATTTTGGACCGAGTTGTTCAAACTGATGAGGTTGGCATTGTAATTTTCCACAAGCTTTCATCCTTAAACTGACGGGCAAACCAAGAGAGTGGATGCCTTACTAGAGATATATCTGCAACACTTTGTGAGCGCCAACCAACTTGATTGGGCAAAGTTGATTGATGTAGCCCAATTCTCCTATAATTTGCAGAGGAGTGAAGCCACCAACAAGAGCCCATTCGAGATGGTGATAGGCCAACAACCACTCACGCTGCATACCTTGGGTACAAGTTATAAGGGGAGCAACCCCACGACATTCAAAGTTGCTAAGTCATGGCATGAATAAGCCGACATCACATGAGCATATCTTGACAAAGCAACCAAGAAAATGAAGAAGTGGGTAGACAAAAAGCCGAGGCATGTGGAGTACAACATGGGAGATCTAGTACTTGTCAAAATCCTCCCATCATAACACAAGTCCACCCAGCCACTACACAGAGCCCTTGTCCAAAAATATAAGGGGCCATTTCCCATAATCAAGAGGGTCGGTAATGTATCCTATAAGCTTGAGTTGCCCTCTTGATTGAGACTTCATCCGGTCTTCCATGTGAGTTGTTTGAAGCCATACCATGAAGATGCAGAAGATCCAGGAAGGGGAGAATCAAAATGGGCACCATTTGGCAACACCAAGTTCTATGACAATGAGGTGGAGTGTGTGTTAGCCGACCATGTCATTCGACAAAAGGGCCACCCTCCAAGTCAGGAATACTTTGTCAAATGGAAAGGGCTACCGAAAAGTGAAGCTAGTTGGGAACCCAAAGATGCATTGTGGTAATTCAAAGACAAGGTCCAATAATTCCACGAAGAGTCGATGAGGACGTCTTTGGATTAGGTGGGCGAGAATGTGATGCCTCTCAAACATTTCATCAAACACTTGGTGTGCGTCACCCCGACATTCTAGAACCTTCTGGAATACTCTTGTATATGCTAGAATCTTGTAATTAATATGGTAGTTGGTAGATATTAGTTGGTAGGGGGTAGTTTGGAGTTAGCTAATCTCCACCATTGACTTCGGGAGATCTAGACCGTCCATTGTAAACTCCAACTACTATAAAAGGGGGAGGCCTTCATTTGGCCAAACCATCCAAGAATTGTAAAGTTCTCTCATTAGTAAAGAATTATCTTCTAACATCTCTTGTGAGTTTGTGTGAGTGTTTTCTTACTTGCCTAGCTAGAAGCGTAAGCAAGCATGGCTGACTTAGGGCAATCATCGGGAGATTGGCACCTAAGGCCGCACGAGTCCGAAGGGAAGCAATCGGGTTGTGACACAAGGTACCGAATAGAATATTTCCCAAAGTCACACTTAGACCGCTTTGCCACAAAGCAATGTGTTGGATCCCCGCATATTCGCAACTCAAAATAAAGCAGACAAAAACTCAAATGAAACAGGAAATGGCAATAATGAAATGAAAATGACAAACTTAATATTTATATTAATCAAACAAAGCATAAAAGAAATGGATGGACTAATTCAGTAATTGGAATCAGTCACCTTACATAAAAAGAAAAACTTACAAATTAACAGGAAAGTACTCCCCATCCCAGCTTAACTTCGAGGGTCAACTTTCCTCCCCAATATCCCATATGAATTTCTGATGATCATCCCCCAATTGCCTCCCTTTTTTATTCACTTTTCCTCCTAACTGAATTATTCCCTTATCCCGTCTTTTACTACCATTTGTTCACCCAATAACCAATTCTTAATAGCTCACTCAACCTTTACACCTCATCCATCAGAATCTTTCTTGTTACAGCCTGAATTCCCCTACTTGCCTCCCTTGGTTTTCTTACTGTATACCACATATCGGGTGGTTTCATCATTACCCGCCCCAAGGTGGAAAGAAGGAAATTGACAGTTGAGAGTAGAAAAATCTTCCTATGTGTTTTCATAGTGAGGTAGCCCTTGCCATTTGATAAGGACTTCATAATCTCTATTCAATAACAGACGCATTTTCAACACTTCTTCAGGCTCAACATTGAGAACCATATCTTTATCAAGGTTGTCTAGTAGGGGTTGAGTCATAGGTGGAGGGAATGTGGCCTTCTTGAGTTGAGAAACATGGAACACATTATGGATTCGGGCGGTCGATGGTAGTGTCAGCCAGTAAGCTACTTTGCCTATATTATCGGCAATCAGAAAAGGGCCATAATATCGGGGGCTTAGCTTCTCATTTAATCTGGTAGCTAAAGAGCGGAAACGGTAAGGTTGAAGTTTCAAATAAACTGTTTCACCCACAATAAAAGTTACCTCCCGTCGTTTCCCATCACTATAGCATTTCATGCGGTTTTGAGTCTTAACAAGGTTGTCCTTCAATTCTTGTAATATGAAGTTGTGATCCTGTAATTGTTGGTTCACCTCATCAATCATCAAACAGTTATCAATAGACTTCAAGTGAGATGGTGGATCTTGGCCATAGAGTGCCCTAAAAGGTGTCATTCCTGTAGAGCTATTATAGGTAGTTCTGAACCAAAATTCTGCCTAATGGATCCATTTTGGCCACTGCCGTGGTTGGCTACTCATAAAACAGCAAAGATAAGTCTCTAAGCATCTGTTAACCACCTCGGATTGGTCATCTATTTGCAGGTGATAGGCCAAACTCATAAGAAGATGGGTGCCAGATTGTTTAAACAATTCTTTCCAAAAAAGACTCATAAATACACGGTCACGATCTGAAATGATGGTCCGCGGAAACCCATGTAGCTGTATGATTTCTTGTGCAAATAAGGTTGCCACATCTTTTGCTGTGTAAGGGTGTTTGAGGGTGAGACAATGCTTATATTTTGTGAGTTGATTGACAACCACTAAAATAGTATCAACATTCTGAATTCGGGGAAGTCCCATTGTAAAATCCATTGAAACGTCTTCCCAAACTTGAATGGGGATCGAAAGAGGTTGTAGAAGAACAGTTGGACTAAGGGCGTCGTATTTATTTTGTTAACAGGTTGAGCAGGCCGCAACAAAGGATTAGACATCTCTTTTCATCCCTTCCCAATAAACCACATTAGCAAGCCTCTTATAAGTGAAAAAAAAAATCCAAAGTGCCCGCCAATTGGTGAAGAATGAAATACTTTTAGAAGCTTCTAGATATGTAGGCCGAGTTTGGGTAGCACCAGGCAGTAATTGACTTCCTTGCAGCCGAAAAGGAGGACAACTATTGGGATCCTTAAGTAAGTCTTGGATAATCAATCATAACTTAGGATCTTGATGAATTGTCTTTTCGATCTCTTCTATTCCTGCAAAACACACTAAGAAGAGGACTGCTTGTTCGATTGGTTCACCCTTTTGAGACAATGCATCCACAACTCTATTTTCAGTGTCTGGCCGATATTGAATTTCAAAATCGAGCCAAATTAACTTAGTAACCCATTTCTATTGATCCTCACCCATCTCTCATTGGTCAATTAGAAAACGGAGATTCTTTTGATCAATGCTGATAATAAAATGTCTTCTCATTAGATAATGCTTCCATTTCTGCATAGGGAAGACAATTGCCATCAATTCTCATTCATACACTAATTTAAGTTGTGATCGATGGGATAATCCTTGACTGAAGAAAGCTAAAGGTCGTCCATCCTACATCAATACAGCTCCAATCCCACTCCCAGAGGCATCAGTTTTGACCACAAAAGTTTTAGAGAAATCTGACATAGCAAGAAATGGGACCGAAGTCATTGCATGTTTCAACTCCTCAAATGCTCTTTGGGCCTCTGAATTCCAAGTGAAAGAATCCTTCTTCAAAAGGGATGTTAGTGGATGGGCAATCTTCCCATAACCCTGAACAAATCATTGATAATATCCAGTGAGTCCCAAAAATCCTCAGAGAGCCTTGATATCTTTTTGTGTCGGCCAGTTTACCATACTCTCGATTTTTGAAGGGTTAGCTGCAACCCCATTTAAGGAAATTATTTGCCCCAAGTACTCTATCCTCTCTGCCAAATACACATTTTTTTCTTGTTGGCAACGAGTTTGTGTTGCTGTAATGTCTAGAGAGTAACCTGTAAATGCCTCAGGTGTGTTTCAAGATTCGGGCTATAAACAAGTATACCGTCAAAGAATACTAGAATAAATTTCCTCAAATATGGTCGAAAAATATCATTCATGAGAGCCTGAAATGTTGAGGGAACATTTGTCAATCTGAAAGGCATGACCAAAAACTCATAATGCTCTTCATGAGTCCAAAAGGTTGTTTTATCAATATCTTCTTCCCTCATTTTGATTTGGTGGTAACCTGACTTAAGGTCGATTTTGGAGAACATTGTTCACCCCTTAATTCATCAAGTAATTCTTCTATGGCTGGTATTGGGAACTTATCCAGAATGGTACTCTGGTTGAGAGCTCGATAATCGGTGCAAAATTGCCAACCCCCATCTTTTTTTTTTTTTTTTTTTTTCTAACTAGCAAAACAAGACTAGAGAAAGGGCTAACACTTGGTCAGAGGATCCCGATTTGGCTCATTTCCCTCACTAAATTCTTAATCTCATTTTTTCTGGTAGTACGAGTAATGGTAAGGGCGTATATTTGAGGGTAAGGTGTCGGGTTTCAAACGGATGGCATGGTGTTGGGATCTCACAGGTGGTAATTCAATAAGTGGAGTAAAAACAAAATCAAATGCTTGTAATAAGGTACTTACTTGGGAATCCATGCTATTTGTATCGACATGTTGCATCTGAATCTATCCAAATTTGATTAAGCACCCATGACCTTCAATTTGGAGGGTCTTGATCATCGCCTTCAGGGAATCCAAAGTCTTGTATAAGGATGGATCACCCACCAGTTTCACCTTTTCTGTTCCCAATTTCAATTTCTTGATATGTTTCTTCCAATCTGTAGTTGTCTTACCTAATGTTTCAAGCCAAGCAATTCCCAAAATCACATCGACACTTCCCATGTCAAAAGGGAAAAATTTTTGAGCAATCGTAACACCTTGAATTTCCAAACAAACCCCTTGACACTTGCCTTCACTTCTAACTTTATATCTGTTGCCCACTCGAACTCCAAATGGTTTCGTTTGTGTTACTAGGAGAGACAACTTATCAATGATATCTTTGCAAATAAAATTATGTGACGCTCCACTATCGATCAAGACAATCACTTCTCTAACATTTATCTGTCCCCTCAACTTTAATGTTTTTGGTCCATTGATTCCCACTACTGAGTTTAGGGAAAGTTCAACAGAATTCTGCTGAGAGGCTAGAAGCTCTTTTTCACTTTCCCTTTCTTCTCCCGTTTCTTCCCCAACTTCTTCATCCACTAATATCACCTAAAACTGAGGTTCCCTACACTTGTGCCTTGGTAAGAATTTGCCATCGCACCTAAAACAGATTCCTTGCTGCCTTTTTCGTTGGATCTCGACCTCGGTCATGTGTTTGAAAGGGAAGCTTCACCGAAAATTTGAGTTGGACACAGCAGCTAGCGGCGATGGGAGGTTGCTGCTCTGGTAACTAGTTATCGGTATGTTGTTGGGTTGACGATCTTCCTAAGTTCAACGGTTTCCTGAAGACTGACTGGTAAATCATTGTAACGCCCCGCTTGAGGTACGTTGTTATTGTTTCCTCTTTCGCCCTTAATCGAGTTGGTTGTTGTTATATTTGTTTGTTTGAGTGTTATTTGATTGTTGCCCTGAATCTTGGTTGAAATAGAAGAATTTGAGTGTACCAGGCTTCGCCGGGGCGAAGAAGAATCTTCGCCGCGGCGAAGATGGGTTGCCGGCGAAGAAGAATCTTCGCCGCGGCGAAGATGGGTTGAACCAAGGGTGAAACTCTCTGGACAGTTTCGCCGCGGCGACAAATGTTTCTTCGCCGCGGCGACAGGCCGAATAAAATGTTGGTTGAGTTTTAGACATTTTCTTCCCTAAGGACAATTTGACCTTTCTACCCCTTTTTAGCAGGAAAAGTGGGGAGTGAATTGTAAGGATTTTTCATGGAGAATGTGTTGATATGGGGGTGAGATTGTAATGAATCAAAGGATATGGATGGAATTCCCAAAATAGAACAAGGGCAAAATGGGAATGAGTGTGTTAATATTTCATTAAAAGGAATTAGAATCAAAGAACCCCTCATTTCTTCTTCTCAAACGTGACCCTTCATTCTTCTCCTCTCAACTTCTCTTTTCTTTTGATCAAGGATTTCCAAGGGATTTTTGAAGTAATTTGGGGTATAGAAAGCAACCTAAGGCTTCCTAAGGTAAGGATTTCTCCTTAAGTTGTGTGATTTGTAGATTTTAGCTCATTTTGATTTTGAGGGTTTTCATTCTTTTGGTTAAGAGTAGAGAGAATAGTCAAGAAAACCAAGTGGAAAGAAGATTTGGTGAAGTCTCTCCATAGCAAGTAAGTAAAACCCAACCCAAGTTGAGATTTATGAAATTTCTTGATTAGGGTTTTGATAGACTTGATGTATGTATGTGATATACATGTAATATGGCATGTATGAAGGATTAAATAGAAATTTCTATGCTTTGTGAATGTTATTACTTTGCAAATATGAGAAATGGGTTGTTGGTTTGGCAAGGTAGTTGAGATGGATTTGAAGGGGTGTTATGGAACCCTTTTTGGAAGTGTTTTATTTGACAGGTTATTATGACTTTGTGAAGGGGTTTTTCCCCATTTTGGATGGTTAGGAAAAGTTTTAGATTCATGGCTATGATAGAGTTTTATAGTGCACATGAGTTGTTTGATGAAATGCCTAATAGAGAATTGAGTGTGAGTAATGAACCTTAATTCTTGCAACATTGCATGTTGGCATTTCACAAGTGCATTAGTAGAGATGAATCATCCATGTGCATTGTTATATGCATTGACAAGTGACCTAAGAAAGAGTAGGGAACTTTGTGTATAGAAATACCCTATGAGTAGAGAGCTTAGTGGGTAAAATTACTCTAAGGGTAGAGAGCATTGAAAAATGCTACAATAGAATGAGTTAGAAGAGTAGTATAGTTGGGATGATGCTTTGTGATCATCACCCGACCGTTATGGGAATCGGATTGATGCTTTGTGATCATCATCCGAATAGCCCTTAGAGATGGGTCGATGCTTTGTGATCGTCACCCAATGAGTAATAGAAATGGGGTAGATGCTTTGTGATCACTATCCGATTAGTTATTAGATAAGTGGGTTGATGCTTTGTGATCATCATCCAACAGTTAGTAGAAGCGGGTTGATGCTTTGTGATCATCACCCGATAGTGACTAGAGACGGGTAAATGCTTGGTGATCGTTACCCAAAATTCATGAGGAACGGGTAGGTGCTAGGTGATCTCCACCCGATAGTTAGGAGGAACCGAGTTGGTGCTTTGTGATCCTCACTCGGTAGTCACTAAGAACGGGTTGGTACTGTGTGAATTCCACCCGATAGCCATAGAGAGTGAGATGGTGCTGTGTGAACGCCATCCGGCCGTACCTCCGGTAAGATGAGGCCATGATGTTATTAGAAACAGAAATAG